AGAAACAAATTTTTTTTAAATACTTTATTGTTTATATTTTCTATTAGAAGCGTAATATTATGGGCACCTTAAAAAATGTTGCTAGTATTTATAATTTATTTATAAATTTTTAGACGAGGTATTATAATGATTTTTTTTAATACTTTTTTAAAAACGAAGTATTATAATCAACTTATTACAATATATTTATAAAGTATCTATAAATTTATAAACGGATTATTTAAAAACGAAGTATATAAATTCTTAAATTCGTAATTTTATATATGAATGTAAGAATATTTTTTAAGTTGTTTATAACCTTTTTTTATATTACTTGGTGTAACCTAATTTTTTCAAACGAATTTCATAATTTTTTGATAATATTTGGTTATAAGTTATAACCTAATTGTTTCACTGGTCACATTCTATAATATTGCTATTAGCTTCGATAGAATGTCTTCTCGTAGAGGTTCATTTACTTCCTCCCGCGGAGGTCGTGGAGGTAGAGGTAGCCCACCCATTGTCCAGAATGAGCAGAACTCCCCTCTAGGTCATTCGCATGAGTCTGTCCAATCCCGACAGGCCGACACCCTACTGATGATCATTTAAGTGGTTTTGATTCTTCGACCCCTGATGAATCTGTTCAGCAAAAGACTTTCATTTTACCCTTTGAAATGAGAAGGTAATGTAAAACTTCACAAGGCATTTTTTATATAATAAATTCGTATCTATACATTACACTTATATGTTCTTTTTTGATGAAGCAATCCTACTGTCCTCAACAACATCATTTCAATCCTCACTAACAATTTCCACGGGCCATGGCGTTCTTATATGCATGCGGACGCTGATCAATGCAACCGTTGGTGGAAACTGTTTCAGGTATGTTATAGGTACTTACTTTTAGTTTTTATTTGACATATTGTGAGTTATGAGGTTGATGAAGTCTTTTTTGTATTTTCAGAGAAAGTATGAGTGGGATCCCTGCTTTGATACCAAAATGAAAAAGAAGTTCAAGTCTCGGGTCTCTGAATGGTTGAGCAAAAATATTGGCAGAGCTAGGCGGGGGAACAAGAAGCCGGACTGGATTGGAGATGGAGATTGGAAGCTGTTGCAAGAATATTGGGCCTCTGATGCTTTTAAGAAAAAGAGCCAAGTTAGATAGAAGAACGGGAACTCTAAAGCTGGGAAGAAATCACAATATCGCGGTGGCAGGATACCGGTGACTACGCATGTTGAAAGGCTGGTGAGTTTAATTGAACTGTATTCAACTGAATTTTACCTTTTATTGATCTCATACTTTAATTCTGTAGACGAAGAAGTTGAATAGGCCCCCCTTGAAGATTGAAGTGTTTGACAAGGTTTATGTCCCGAAATCGGGTGACCCCCCAGCACGTGTAGTTGAAACCAAGGTAAATTCTATGTATCGATTTGTTTTCTTATTAATATATATAAAAAGTATATGTCTTAGTAATCTACGATGAATATATTTGAACCTCCTATCTTCTGATTGTGCAGCAAAAATACAATGAGATGAAAGTCCAGGCTGAATCGCAAGGGAAGTCTTACGAAGAGGATGATTCTGAGTTGTTTTGCGCGATGGTCCCGCTGTACAAAGGCAGGCGGTTTGGACGGGATCTGAAGCTGAAGCATTGTCTGACCTTGAATGCACCAGCAGGATATCAGGGCCGACTCAAGTAGAAATCGATTCCCGCATCAAGGAGCAGCTCGAAGCCCGGTTTTCGCAGCAGGAAAAGCAGTGGCAAACTTAGATGGCGAACATGACTTCTGCTTTTACGGCGTACATGGAGCAAGTGTGAAGCTCGAACCCTTCTGTCCCGCTACCTGATTTCTCTCCTTTTCTGACCCTGACCTCCGCCCAAATGAATGGGCTACATGATTCGAATGAAGTGCGGATGTCTGATCTATTTGTGTAATGAACAAACTGTTTAATTTTCTGTACTGTTTCTGGACATCTTCTGGCAATTTATTTGCCATTTCTAATTCTATTTTGGCAGTGATTTATCTGCCTGGACTGCTGTAACAAAATAATCTTCTGTTAATTTGTGCACTTTCATTTGCTCTATAATGTTTATCTTTCATTTGCTCTATATGTTTCCTAGTTAAATGTTTTGTTTATAATGATTTGAAGAAAAAAAACTGTACACCGTACATATGTACGGTGTACTGTTTTTTTTTTTAATTAAATTTGGCACGGATATCGTCCGTCCCAAAATCCCGAACGGGTTTCGGTTAAAAATTTGGCACGACCTTATCCGAGCCAACAGACGGGTAAAGATTTGGGTAACCCGGTTTATTCCATCCCAATATCCGTGCCAAGGTAAATCCGAGCCAAATTTTTTGGGGTAGTAATCGGTGTTGTTGTCTCTGAAATTTCGTGCCCAAAGCCGTGCCAAGAGTTGGCGCGGATTTTTTTTCCCGTGCCAAAGCATTTGGCACGAGCTAGGTGCGTCGAATTCCATATCCGTGCCTAATCCATGCCAACAGCGATAGTCTGGGATTTTTGTGAAGCGTTATGTGCCAAAATCCGACCCAATGGCGTATTTTTTTGGTAGTGGAATTTTAAAAAAATGTTGAATAAATAGGCATATAGCCGTTGGGAGCTACCAAACGGCTCTATAGCCGTTGGGAGCAAGGTGGGGTGTCCCGGCGGGGTGGAGGGTGGAGGTGGGGGTGGGGGGAGAAATTTTCTATAAATACCTATTCATTTCATTTTTTACACAACTCATTCTTCTCTACTCTTTTATTCTCTATCAAGTATCAACTACTATATTCATCAATTTCATCATCTTCATCTACTACTCTTCTCCACTTTCTTAATTATTATTACTATTCTTATTATTTCTAATATTATATATTGTATTTAAATTTTCATATATAATTATACTATTAATTAATAGTAGTATTGTTATATACTTATATTAGTAATTTTCTATTACTATTGTTATATTAATACTACTAATATACTTAGTAATTTATATTAGTTTCCTATTAATATACTTATATATTATATACAACGGAGTATAAACATTATATTAGTTATACATCTACTTATTATATAGTTCTTATTTACTTATATTTACTTATATTTACTTATATTACATCTAATTAATATATTAAGTATATATAAATATTAAGTATTAAATATAAGTTTACTACTCATATTATAGTAGTATACTTATATATTTTATACTTATACACAATATATTATATATTAGTTACACTTTAATTAATGTTAGTTAATTTCATCCTATTACTCTCATTAATTAGTATACACATTCATACATTTTTCCTATTACTTACTCATCCTAGTTACATTTGTCATTAAAGTGGTTCATTACTTAATTGTTACATTTGTGATTAATGTATTTATTAAATTAGTTTGAATTTTTAGGTGTGATTAATTAGTTAGAATTTTTAGTTCTTAAATTGTTACATTTAAGTACTTATTAAATTAGTAGTTCGAAAGTAGTTCTTAAATTGTTACTTAGTACGTAGTACTTATTAAGTATTTACAAAAAAAGTAGTTCCAAAAAATTAGTTTAGTGAATTTTATTTTAAAAAAAGTTTGAATTTTATTAATATAGTTATAACTTCATACATTTTTATTAATATTAGTTAATTAGTTGTTATTAAACAAATAGTTATTGAAAAACTAGTTTAAATTAAAAAAAAATAGTTAGTTGCATTACTATTGTACTAACATATTTGTTAGAATTTAATATTTGTTACATTTTTAAGATGGAACATGGTAGAGCTTTTGTATATATGGATAACCTCAACCGCAACCGAAAGAAGGAGATTGTGAGGAATCATCCTAGTTCACGCAAAGGTAAAGGACGAGCCGGGTCTTCTTCTCAAACCCGAGATGATTTTGAAATGGATTACCAACGGAGAGATGCGTTCTAATTGTTTTAATTTTTTAACTTTTACACAACACTTTACATTTCATGTTTTAATTTTTTACCTAATTCTCAATTGTAGACTTGTAGTTCATATATCAAATAAATATACGTTCACTTTTTTGTATATAGCACTTCTTGATTTAATTTCTTAAACTCAAAAAAAACAACCCAACCCAGCCCGGCCCGCTACCCGGGCGGGTAGCCTGGCCCGGTACCGCCAGACACCCGGGCCGGTCCCAAGCTTACTACCCAACAATGAAAGCCCAGTCAGGCCAGGCCTAGAACCGAAAACAGACTGAGCCCGATCCATCACTAGCAAGAACAGGGATGGACCGGTTCCGATTCGGGTCTGGGCCCGACTGGGCCTCGGTTCATGAAGGGGAGGCCTGGAACCGGCCCGGGTAACCCCCAGGTCCGGGCCGGGCCAGGCCGCAGTTCTTTTTTTTTTTTTTGGCTTTTCCTAGTTAACCCCTAACCCTCCCCCTCACCCCAAACCAACCCTAATCACCTCAAATGGCCCAAAATACCCAGCCCAACCCAAAAACTTAAAAAAAATCAAAAAAAAAAATGGCCCAACACGGGCCCGAACCGGCCGGGCCGGTTCACCTTCTGAAGGCCCCGATCCCTAACCACCATCCCACCGGGCCGGGTGACCCGAACCAACCAACCAACCGGTTCACCGGGCCGGTCCGGTTCCGGGCCGGTTGGCCCGGCCCGAGTCCACCCCTAAGCAAGAACTTGAGAATGATCAAAATCATTTTTAATCTTAAATCAAGCCGTTGAAATTCTGTTTGCATGTATGTAGGGATGGACTAGGACGGGTCAGCCGGTCCGGTCCCGACCCAGGCCCGGTGGCTATAAGGGGGCTTCGGGCTCATTTTTTAGGCCCGACCCAGCTGGGCCCAGGGCCCCAGGCCAGTCCCGGACCCGATTGCACTATTTTTTTAATTAATTGCACAGGCCCATCCCAGCCCATTCCCAACCCGATACTGTTTAGACCTGGCCCAGTCCCAGTACAAACCCTGGCTGGTACTGGGCCTGAAATTTTTAGTCCCTGACCCGGCCCAGTCTCGGTCCATCCTACATGTATGGAACCAATTTGTTGTACTTATTAGAACATTCTGAAAAGCATCATTTTTTTCGAATTAGCAACACACTTGTTCAAGCCATAATACAAAACGACCAATAAAAGAAATTTCAGGTGCTTTAGAATTGAATGAAAACTGCAGTCGACGTCTAAAGCATTAGAGAATAAGGGAAGCATACAGACTGATATAGTTGCAAGTTATGAGAACAGAATCTCATTAAAAACGTCTGGACGGATAACTATAGCATTAGCCTATAAGGTCAACAACAAGAATGCAGTTTCAAGTTCTTAGATCACTAATAACGCCATGCATTGGGCACAAGTGTGTTTCGACTCTTTTGCAGGTGACCTAATCCATACCCCACCGTCCTGACCACCACCACCGCCACCACTAGGCACTGGCTCAGGAATGAATCAATTGTAGACCATGTACTTGGGAGTGGCACTAAATTTCTGATACCCCTTGATGACTTTATTGACAGCATCTAGAAAGTCCTTCTCTGTCACTGTCTTTCTCCTTGCTCTGATTGCATACATACCCGCCTCCGTGCACACGCTTCGTATGTCAGCCCCTAAACCCATCATCAAACATATAACCAATGATTAAGGGCCGCTAAAAGAGAAATTAGTGATTGGCAGCAGTGGAGAACAAGAAGGCCTTACCAGTAGAGTTGGGACAAAGACGAGCTAGGAGTTCAAAACGGATGTCCCTTTCACAGTTCATCGTCCTCGTGTGGATCTTGAAAATCTGTGCCCTGCTTTCCAGATCAGGCAATCCAAACTCAACTTTGCGATCCAACCGCCCAGGACGCAACAATGCAGGATCAAGAGTGTCTGGTCTGAAGAAATATAGAACACATTGATGATACTTTAAATATTTGTGAAGGTACAATTATTGGAGATCATCAATTTTAGCTACACATTCAAAAACTTTATTTGTCACTTTAACTAGATCTAACATACTTAACTTGTTTATGATGCTTTTCTTATAAATACATTATAATGGCAATAGGCTTCTTTTAGTCAAATTGAACTTTTATGGGGGAAATAGGTCTTAAACGTGAAAACTTTTCTTGAGACATGAGTACTGAGTGACAAAAACAATGAACTATAAATAATTTGTCTTTCAATTACCTATTGGTTGCCATGAGAACTTTGATATTTCCACGTGCATCAAAGCCATCGAGTTGGTTCACAATTTCAAGCATAGTCCGTTGAACTTCATTGTCTCCCCCAACCCCATCATCAAACCTTGCTCCTCCAATTGCATCCACTTCGTCAAAGAACACAATGCAAGCTTTTTTAGAGCGAGCCATCTGTCATTTGAAAATTACATAAGAAAATAATCAGAATCCTTGTACTTCACAAATAAAATTACCCCATCTGTGTATTTTTTTAAACCTGAAAGAGTTCGCGAACCATCCGAGCTCCTTCACCAACATATTTCTGGACAAGTTCACTGCCAATTACACGGATGAAGCAAGCATCTGTTCTATTAGCCACTGCTCTGGCCAGTAGTGTTTTCCCTGTTCCAGGTGGGCCATAGCAGAGAACGCCTTTGGGTGGGTCAATACCAAGCTTCACAAACTTTTCTGGGTGGAGCATCGGCAGCTCAACAACCTAATATTTTAACATCCATGTATTATTACGAAGAATTACTCTGCCACAGAGTCATAAATAGAAGGGGAAGGGGAAAAGATTGAAATAACATAAAATCAAAAGAAGTATGAAGCTAATAAAAAGAATACCTCCCTCATCTTTTCAATTTGTTCCTTGCATCCACCAACATCATTATATGTCACATCAGGCTTTTCCTCAACAGTCATCATGGTGACACTTGGATCAATTTTAGGGGGCAAGGGAATCTGGATTTGATATTTGTTCCGATCAACTCTGAATATTAATGATAGTAAATTAAATTCACAAATATCATCACAATGCTACTCCCTAAACCTCATAAGTCATAATACAAGGAAGGTAGCCATTGAAACCACAGAATAGTAACTCCAATACGGTCATAACGGACATCATGCTATGACAGTTACTCACGGAACCTTTGTAGTTCTTAACCAGTCAACTACATACACTTGGGAGAAATGAAGTACTTGACTTAAAGTTGAAAGTTGAAACTGCTTTAGCATTTGCTTTGTACATGAATAGCGTAAAGAGAACCTACCCAACTCGCATGCCCTCTTCAATATCAGTTGGTGAAACTTTGTCGCCCAATCCAACAACAAACTGTAGGGAATATAGAGTAAAATCAATCAACCCGTTAAAGCTTTTTCTTGAGAGCACACAACTAGCCTTTGGTTAGTCACCAAGGAAACCAACAGAAAAAAATGAAATCCATACAAGCTGGCATGCCATTTCTTCTTCTTTCACAAAAATTTCATGCTATAGAATTTATAGATATTAAGATTTTAGATGCTAGAGTAAGATATGTAAGGTTGGTCCTGGGACAGGATGGATCGAAAGGATTAAAGTACTGCAGGAGTCTTCCTATTATGCTTTCTATTATTATTAGGGCTTTTGTACTATCTATATAAACAACTTTTAAAAATAAAAGGATGACACTCCATCCCTGAGGGGCCCCCAGAACCGACCGGAAAGTTATCTGAGAGGATGTAAATTGAGCTTTGATCTCACTGTGATGGAAAAGGAGTGGAGTTCCTTCCCAAGTCATTAGGGCTTTTGTACTAGCTATATAAACTCCTTTTAAAAAAATGGGACACCTTATCCCTGAGGGCCCCCAGAACCGACCGGACAGTTATCTAGGAGGATGTAAATTATGCTTTGATCTCACTATGATGGAAAGAGAGTGGGGTTCCTTCCCAAGTCAGTGCTTGGAGTTGAACCTGGAACCTCCCCCTTGTGGCACCCTTTCCTACCAGATAAGCTCCCAGTATATAAACAACTTTTAGATAACTAGTTTTTGTGTCTTGAATAGGTTGCACACTGACTATTTCCACCTTGAAGCCTTTGTTGAAAATCTCTCTCTCAAGTATTGAACCCAAATCTTCATCAACTCTACCTCTGTTTCATTAGTTTGTTCTAGACCTTGGACTGTATCCCAACCATGCTCATAAGAGAGATCTAAAAGGATATTCCATACGTTGATTATTGTTATTAAGAAAACTAAACATGTCTTATGTCCCTATCTAAGCATTTCCTTTCATATATATACACGCACACAAGATACAAAATCATCACATGCCAATAATCAACTTGTTAACATATAAAGTATGAATTAAAAAGCATAGATGAGCAAAAAGATATATAAGCATTTAAGAGAAAGCTAGACTACCTTGGCTATTTGTTTTACGTTTATAACATATTTTGCATCTTCAGTATTTGGACTGATTATTTTTGTACATCTTGCCACCTGTTGACAAATACAGAATTATGGTTTCATTGGCATATACAACAAAGTATGTAAGTCATAATAGAAACAGTATTTAGACCTTGTCCATATATACACACCTAGGGGAGCAAACTAGCCGAGCCAAGCGAGCTACTCGTGAGTAACTCAGTGAAAACTCGACTCAAATTCGTTCAAACTTGAACTCAAACCGAACTCAAGCCAGCACATTACGCAATCGAGCCGAGCTCGAGCTCAATTCCTTTTAGCTCGTGAATCGTGAGCCATAATATAATATATATATACACACACACACACAGAGACGGACATGTATTCAAATATATACATATACATATACACTTGCATATTTTTTATGTATTTATGTACCAAGTACTTGCATATATATATATATATATATATATATATATATATATATATATATATTTTAAACTTTCATCAGCATTACCCCATGTTGCAAAGGTTCCCATCTTTGGGGGGCAAGGGGGTTGGATGTACGCAGTCTTAACCCTGCACTAAAGCAGGGAGAGTGTTTCCGTATGACCCATATTTTAAATTTTTATAGATAGTAAAATGAGGAGTAAAAACGCTTGATTTATACATAGTATTTATTGTTTATTTTATCTGTATGCATAAATACAATATTAATAATTTTGAAAATATAAAATTTATTTTTAGCTCTAACTCAAACTCGAATTCAAGCACCTTATTCGAGCTCGAACCGAGTTTGAGCCAAGCGTGAATCAAACTCCATCCGAGCTCTGGCCACAAATATTAGGCTCGTTTGAGCTCCAGCTAGTTCATTCTTATCAAGTTCGAGCTCGAGCATGCTCAAGTTAGAGTTCGGTCCGCTCATTTGCACCCCTGTACACACCTGAAGTGGTTGCTCCTCCTGCATCATTTGCTTATCCGAAACAAGATCCCATTGACTTGGTGCAGCCAAACCAGTGTCAGATTCCTTGATACCTGAAGTTAAATAAAACTTATGTAAAACATTCAAACGCTGAAACACGAAAACAGCAGGATAACACTGCTATATGTTGGCTTCACTCTCTAAGGTGTGCTTGGTAAGCTTTAGGATATATTGATAGGAATAGATAATAAGTGGGCCTATTATTATAGATAATAATAAGTGGGCCTGTAATATTAATAGCAGCGAAAGGGTTATGGGCTATATTAGTAGTCTATCCCTACGGGAGTATTAACTATAAATAGATGAGGGGGTAGCTAAATAAGGCAGGTTGTTATTCAGTTGGCTTTTGGCTTGGAGAGTGGGCTTCTCGAACAGTCCCAGAGCTTGTATACGACCTGTATTTCCCTTCCATTCAATAAACAGTTTTCGATTACTTCTACTATAATCTCCATAGATATGTTACTGTTTTGTGTGTATGATATCATTGATCTATCATTGGCATCAGAGCATAGCTCCTGGGAATCGAAATTGAGCTACGATTTCAGAGATATTTTCGTTCCAAGTGGTGAATGGTACGTACACGCGTGAAAATGGAAATTTGCGTGGATAGCCTGGAACAGAAACTACTGGATGTTCAAGCCAAAATGAAGGATGACTTGCAAATTGCAATCAGCGGTGAACGATCAGCCATGGAAAACTTGGCGGCAAACTTGACGGCTTCCATGGCTTTTGGCTTGGAGAGTGGGCTTCTCAAACAGTCCCAGAGCTTGTATACGACCTGTATTTCCCTTCCATTCAATAAACAGTTTTCGATTACTTCTACTATAATCTCCATAGATCTGTTACTGTTTTGTGTGTATGATATCATTGATCTATCATTGGCATCAGAGCATAGCTCCTGGGAATCGAAATTGAGCTACGATTTCAGAGATATTTTCATTCCAAGTGGTGAATGGTACGTACGCGCGTGAAAATGGAAATTTGCGTGGATAGCCTGAAACAGAAACTACTGGATGTTCAAGCCAAAATGAAGGATGACTTGCAAATTGCAATCAGCGGTGAACGATCAGCGATCAGCCATGGAAAACTTGGCGGAAAACTTGACGGCTTCCATGGCCGCATTGAGTGAGCAATTTCAGTCCAGAGCTAGATCGCGATCTCCACATCAACCTCAGGCGCAAACTTCTAACAGTCCAACCACTTCAGGAGGTAATCCAATTCATTCTCACATCCTACATCACAGAATACATGAGGATTGTAATAGATTTACAGTTCAAACTGGAAGGAAAATCGATTTACCTGTTTTTACTGGAGATAATGCTTATAACTGGATTGTGAGGATGGAGAGATATTTTCATTTGAATCATATAAATGAAGAAGAACAGGTGGAAGCAGCTGTAGTCGCTATGGAGGATAGGGCTATAAATTGGTTTATTTGGTGGGAGCACCAAACTGATAGGAGAAACTGGGATACTCTGAAGGCCTCTGTAATCCGCAGGTTCCCGCCAGATCTAATACAAAACCCTTATGGACCTATGTTGAGCTTGAAACAGACTGGAACAGTGAAGGAGTTTAGAGATGAGTTTGAAATGGTGATAGCTCCTCAAATCAATGTGGATATGGAGATCCTTAACGGAATTTTCCTTAATGGCCTGAAGGAGGAGATAAAAGCTGACCTTAAATTACATAATTCAATATCCTTGAGTGAAATTATGGACAGAGCCCTATTAATTGAGAGTAGGAATGAAGCTATATATCTGAAGAGAAAGGAGGAAGACCGGTTACCTTGGAAAGAGAAGGGAACTGCAGCAGTGAAATCACAAGTTTGGACTGAGGGGTACAAGTCCAAATCTGGCAATACTGGATCTCATAATAGCGAGAAGAATGGGGCAGATAGTAAGAATAACCAGTCTTGGTTCAATTCTAGGGGGGGCAGAGTTACAGAGATTCATCCCTCAGACATCAGAAGGGTAGGGCCACAACTGTCACAGGAAGAATATCAGGACAGGAGCAGGAAGGGACTTTGCTTTAAGTGTGGGGGAAAATGGAACAAGGAACATACCTGCAAATTAAAGAATTACAAACTCATATTGGTGGAAGATTCTGATAGTGAAGAAGAAGTAGAAGGTGCAGAGGTGGAAATTGCAGCAGAAGTAACTACCATGGAATTTAAGTCCATGCAACTTTCTATTAGGAGTAAGGAAGGGATACCCTCCATGAGAGCTTTCAAGGTGCAGGGGATTCTGAAATGGGCCAATGGAGAAAAGCAAATAGAGGTTTTGATTGATAGTGGGGCTTCACACAATTTCATATCTCAGAAATTGGTAGAACAAATCAATTTACCTTATTACACTATCTCAGACTATAAGATACAGATTGGAAATGGTGATAAGATCTCCAATAAGGGCAGATGTGAGGATTTGATTTTGAGTATGCAAGGAACTGTCATCCAACAAAACTTCTACATCCTGGAGTTGGGGGAAACTGATTTGGTCCTTGGCATGGAATGGTTGACCACTTTGGGGGATGTGGAAGTCAATTTTCAGAAGCATAGTATCAAGTGGCAACAGTCTGGGATAATTCAGACCATTCAGGGGGATCCTAAGCTAAATTCTATTGAAATATCATTGAAGACTATGTCAAAGATCATGAGGGATATTGGGGGTGGTTATATGGTGTCCTGAGGTGTCAAATCCTATACAAGGGTTACTTCCCACCAGAACTTGTAACCATGCTATCAACATAAAGGAAGGAGCAGAAATACCTAACTTAAGGTCCAACATGTATCCACAATATCAGAAGGATGAGATTGAAAGGATCATCAGGGAACTGCTTCAATCTAGAATTATGCATTTGGGTGGAATCAAGGTGGAGCTGGATCCTACCATTCAGGCGGTTGTGATTGATGTCTCCCATATAGAGTACCTCGTGGATCGTCAGGGAGTAGTTGAGCAGATTCAAGGGGATCCACACTTGAATTCCAGTAAGAGATCACTGAAAACCATGACTCAGATCCTGCAGGACACTGGTGATGGTTATTTTGGGTTTTATGAAGGAAGAGCAATTGAGATGAAAGAAGGAGAAGAATTAGAGGAAATTCGTGTAGAAGAGCAGCCTGAAGGAATAATCCTCCAAAGTAATGACAACAACAAGATTCAGGAATCATTTGGATGGAGTGAAAAGCCAAAGGTGAAGAAAGCAATGATGAAGATCCAAGCACAGAAGCTAAAAGCCCAGAAATCAGCAAAGTACTGGGAGGGGAGAGGTGCAAGAATGAAGTGGAAGTGGAAGATCGTGGCTATTCCCTATCACCCACCTTGAGGACAAGGTGGTTGTTTAGGAGGGGAGTATTGATAGGAATAGATAATAAGTGGGCCTATTATTATAGATAATAATAAGTGGGTCTGTAATATTAATAGCAGGGAAAGGGTTATGGGCTATATTAGTAGTCTATCCCTACAGGAGTATTAACTATAAATAGATGAGGGGGGTAGTTAAATAAGGCAGGTTGTTATTCAGTTGGCTTTTGGCTTGGAGAGTGGGCTTCTCGAACAGTCCCAGAGCTTGTATACGACCTGAATTTCCCTCCCATTCAATAAACACTTTTTGATTACTTCTACTATAATCTCCATAGATCTGTTGCTGTTTTGTGTGTATGATATCATTGATCTATCATATATGAATGGAGTATACCCTCCCCTCCATATGGGAGGGGTATGGCTGAATACCGAAAAGTAGTTGATGAATCCCAAAGTAAAATAGTAGAATACTGTAAATCACAAACTAGTATTTCATTCGCCTTCCATTCCTCAAACCCCCTAACAAGCACACCCTATTAACCTAAGATATGCTTTTCCACAAGAAACAGCTAAAATGTATTCACATATTGTATGCAAGAGTAGCAAGAAAAGACAAATGTAAAGCAAAATAATGCCTTTATAACATACCACATAAATCATTGATCTTCTTTGCCATTTCCTTAATTTCTTTTTCAGCTTTCTTTATACTATTTGAATAAGGTCCCAGACCCTGGAGAAATTGTTTCAACATCAAATAGAATTAGGAAGTCGATATATAGATATGCCAAAACAACAGCCTCACCATACTTGTGCAAAGAATACTCTAAGATGCCAACAAAACAAGTTTGTTCTGGTAGAAAGCAAATAGTTAAATAGTATCTTGATTGAATATGAAAATTAGACTAATTTCATACACCATGACACTAGTGTTACACCGACATCAAAACTGGTTGGGTGGAGTTCTCATTGGAAAATGGTTTTAGAAGATCACTTCTGCAACAAAACATCATTCTGATTAAAGTATCATGCTAACTAATAAGCTTCAGCAGTAGCGTGCTACCTAATGTACTGAACCCAAAGGGCATGTTTCATACCCTAGATGGCGAGATTAATGCTCTTAATACGAAGAACTTATTTAAAGTGTCAACCTTCTACCTTTTATTCTCGTCATAACAATCCTAATTAATCTTTCAGCTAAACAACCTTCAAAACATATGCCCTAGTGTGAACCCTTGAGCCTTAATTGACAGGATTCAAATACGTCAAGAATCAAAATCCTAGATCACAGTAGGCGAAATGGCAAACTTTTCTACCTACAAGTTTAGACTTTGAGTAAATCTGAGGCTGCAAATCCTTGTATTGTGAAAAAAAGGAAATATATTTGCACGATTTATCGATTTAACTCACACTACAATACAAAAGTTGTTCAGCAGTGAAGCCACTTGGTCTCGTTAGGCCACACTGATTGTAAATCAAGAAACATGAAAAGAAGAAGAACTAGGGTTTAAAAAGAACAGTACATATGTCTTGAGGAGAGCAATATCGTCTTCATCGAGGGGCCTAGGGTTCTTCTCGTCCTTGATCTCATCCTCTGCATCGGGTGTGGGTGCCATGCTTCTAAGATCCTTTTCTTCTTGTTGGGAAGGTATCGATATGTGAATATCTCAACTGGGATGGTCCTTTTGTAAGAGAGTGATATAACTTGCGGGGCAGGATATCGCCTACACCTAGGCCAGTAATTTGGCCCTCACTTCTGGAAATTGGAATCTGGCCTGCAGCAGCTTGGCTAGTTTTCTACGCCCTTCTCAAGTCGCAGGTCGCAGCTCTCGGGCTCTCAACCACGCAGGTCCTATCCCCTGGACGTCTCAGGCTTTTGGGTTTCTCTATTTTAATTTGGACTTGGGCTGCTGCTACTCCCTAATACTACTACTATTATTTTGGGTCCTCTCTTTTTTGAGGCCCTGTGCAGTGGCACAGTTTCTCCCTCCCCTGGGCCGGCCCTGCCAGTAAATACTTCGGGCCTAATTGGCTAGCACGTTATGTTTGTAATTTTTCTGTCTCGCGTGTCTTGAAAACAAAAAATTGGTGTACATAAAAATTGTACACAGTCTCCTCTCTATATGGATACTGCATTTTCTAAACGAGTTGATTGTCTGCATAAGTAATTGAGGGTGTACATATTTTGCACTCTCATATGTACACACACTTGCTTTTTTTTTAAACGAGATGTCTGTGTACACATGAATGTGTGTCAACTGTGTTCCAATAGAATTTTTCAAAAATAAAACTCGTATTATTGGCTTGTTGCTAGATTTTTGTATTTAGTTTTTTAATATAATATACTACATACTTCCTCCGTCCCGAAATAATTGTCTTGTTTTCTTTTTCGGGGTGTCCCAAAAAAATTGCCTTCTTTTCTTTTTTGGCTATATCAATTCACTTTTTTCTACTCAAACATCAGTCACAACTTTGACCTTATCAATCACTTTCTTAATACTTTTGCTAAAGCAAACAAGACAATTATTTTGGAACGGAGGGAGTAATTAGTGGGACGTGTGATTCTTTTAAAGTAAAATTCCAAACTTTATTAACTCAAATAATCACTAGTCAAATGGTTAAGATTACAATAAGAAGGATTCAAGAAATTATTCTTATAACCTGACTCCGAAACATACTCTAGCATGAATAGTGTACAGATCTATGTCATTAAATTTGTGTTATTAAACATCATATGCCTAATTTCATCGGTAATTATATACAATATGTCGTTTTACTAACATGACAATAATAAATGGATGTGATTGTTAGACATCACAAGAGCTTTGTGATTTAGAATATCCATATCGTCATCAACATTGTCACTCTTAGTCATATTGATATCGAAACTAACATCAATATTTATACATTATACTATTATCAATATAAATATGATAAAATGGCTAATGTAGAATACAACAAGAGTATATGGTATGAAAAAATTATTTATATGATCTATTATCTAATTTTCTCATTTTCATTTTGAACAAGTACTGTAATATGACTATGATTTGTAACTTTAATTTTAAGAAAACGACATGTAATTGTTCAGTGTTAGGAATAGCTTTTATAAGAGACCAAAATGAGTCAGAGGCCGACATTGCCTTTTACAGTTTTACCAACGGTCATTGAATAAGAAGGCATTGTTGGGCATTTTTCCATTGAAATCTAAAGAGGAAGTGTGGTGTGATGATTCCATATTTCAGCACGCATTTTATGCGTGGTTGAAATTGATTTTGTACAATTTTCGTAGCTAAAATAAGTCATGGTGTGCCAATTTAATTCAAGTTATGATATACCGGATTTTCGTTTGCATTTGGTCTTTTCAAAGTTAAAAATGGGAAATTGAGCCTGACATCGGCATCGAAGAATTTCATTTGAGATTTAGAGACACCTTAGAGTTCAATTGAGGAGCAAAGAGGATCTACGACACTTGAAGAAGAATTATTCGAAAAAGAAAGAGTTCAGCTGTTCAAGTATCAAACAGGGGACCAAATGTAGGCTCACGGAGTAGAAAAACGGGAGGGAATGCCACCAAAGACATGCAAACGAGTTGCACATGAGTTGTGGACTGCGTGCAGCTAGGAATGTTGGATGAGAGCGTGCACCCTGCTCGCGGACAGGTGCACATGGACGTGCGTGCAATGGCTACACGTCGTGCGCAACTCAATTACGCTCACTTTTTCTCTTTTCCCTATTTACACAATTTGTAAACCCCCTATTCAATATTAATTTTCAATATTGAATTTTCATTGTGAAGATGCAATTTTTGCGTTGGAGATGCAAGTTGGATATTGGGGACTACGCTTATGTACATAAATATGTAGGGTGCACACTTTTACATGAGTGAAAGTCCAAATTATTCTATCTTTCTGATCAGACCTCATTTGCTAATACTTCTTTTGTCCTTTATAACTTTGCCAACTTTCTTTTTTGGATGTTTCACTAATTTTGTCACTTTCCTTTTTAAGTACAGAATTTGTGGTTCCAGTGAATTCTCTCTCCTCTCCACAAACCTCAACCACACAGTTTTTGCTTTATTAATCCTCGTGCCGGTCAAACTTGGCAAAGTTAGTAGGGACGGAGGGAGCACTTATTTTCAAATTATTAGTTTCGTTAGTCAAGATTTTTACTAAAGACATAGCTTTTAATTTCACACGTGAAATTTTGAAATAATCAAAATAAATAAGTTTGAAGTTACTTTTCTCGTTGAATTGATTGAAATTGGTGAAGAGAACTATTTCAATTTCTGTGTATTTTTTAGGATATTGTTTCCATCACTTTATTGATAAACCATATTTTACATATAATTTTTTTAACACAATCTCCCATTCAATTGCTTCAACAAAAGTTTCATCACTTTTGGTCGATTTAACTTACTCAAACAATCCCTGATGGAACTAAATTCACCGGAAAATAATTAATAGATAGCCGAAAATAATTAAAGCACTCAGAATAATACTTAGAGAGATAATTGTATGTAGTGTATTCAGCCTGATTATCTGATGGATTATAGGTATCCAAGTATATTAAAATGGAGAGATTGAGCTAGATAATTGGAGGAAGAAGATGAATGAATAGTGAATTGTGAATGAGTAATTATGTTCCAGGGTTACAAATGGCTCCAAGAGGAGTATAAATAGGGAAATAATGGGCCGGGCCGCTAATATGGGCCCGGTAGCCCAACTACATAAAAGACTAATCTAGTACATAGTTACATACAAATGACATATAAGCAGTACAATAATACAAATGATATCCGTAAGATGTGTGTGAGCCGCTGTCCGGGCCCAATAGTCATGAGACCCGGGGGTCCGAGTCTATATACTCTATCAGGAGTCCCCCACTCTCTGAGTCGAGAGTATTCGAGGCGAAAGAGAGTAGAACTGTGTGCTGATCTGTCGTCGTCCGGTGAGTAAACTTCGTGAACAAAAATTTGAATTTCTGCTTCTTTGGTTAACGGAGGCGCTAAGTCCCCCGCTCTTCCAGTCCCCCACTCCTTGAGGCGAGTGTAATGAGGTGAAGAGGAGTAGAGTAATGCGTGTCGGATTATGTCTTCAACAGGGGGCCGAGGGTTGACACCTTTTGATCCACGATGGGGAGATGCCTCGTTAAAAACCTCATTAGGAAAAACCTTGTGGGAAAAAATCCTAATGAGGGAAAAAGAGTACACCGGATGCCCCCAAAATGAAACAAAAGGTGCGAACCCTTCGGCCTGGAGATGGAGCTGTAGCGGTGCCCGTCTGCTGGATGGTCGAGGCCGATCTCTAGATGTGGGTAGCTCATCATGATCAGTAGTCCTAGTCATCAAATAAAGATGACTAAGGGATGGGTCGAGCGACCGTCCACAATATGATGTCTGGTTCATCAAATAAAGTTGACCAGAACGTAAGGCCGATGGGCCGAGAGGCCTGTACGAGAGCTCCACGTTGTCAAATAAAGACGACGAGGCGATGGTGCGGCCGAGGGGCCTGCATAAGAGCTCCACGTCGTCAAATAAAGACGATGGGGCGATGGTGCGGCCGAGGGGCCTGCATAAGAGCTCCACGTCGTCAAATAAAGACGACGGGGCGATGGTGCGGCCGAGGGGCCTGCATAAGAGCTCCACGTCGTCAAATAAAGACGACGGGGCGATGGTGCGGCCGAGAGGCCTGCATAAGAGCTCCACATCGTCAAATAAAAACGACGGGGCGATGGTGCGGCCGAGGGGCCTGCATAAGAGCTCCACGTTGTCAAATAAAGACGACGGGGCAATGGTATGGCTCAGAGGCCTGCATAAGAGCTCCACGTCGTCAAATAAAGACGACGGGGCGATGGTGCGGCCGAGGGGCCTGCATAAGAGCTCCACGTCGTCAAATAAAGACGACGGAGCGATGGATGGCCGAGAGGCCTACATGAGAGCCCCATATCATCAAATAAAGATGACGGGGTGATGTATGGCCGAGAGAGGCCTATATGAGAGCGCCATGTCATCAAATAAAGATGACGGAGCGAGATATGGCCGATGGGCCTGTAATTGAGCTTCGCGTCATCAAACAAAGATGACGAGGCGATATATGCCCGATGGGCCTGCAACTGAGCTTCGCGTCATCAAATAAAGATGACGCAGCAAGATGTGGCTCAGAGGCCTACAAATGAGTTCCTCGTCATCAAATAAAGATGACAGAACGATATATGGCCGATGGTCCTGTAGATGAGCTCTTCGTCATTAAATAAAGATGACAGAGCGATATATGGCCGATGGGCCTACAAATGAGCTCTTCATCATCAAATAAAGATGACAGAGCGATATATGGCCGATGGGCCTACAAATGAGCTCTTCATCATCAAATAAAGATGACAGAGCGATATATGGCCGATGGGTCTGCAAATGAGCTTCGCGTCATCAAATAAAGATGACGGAGCGATATATGGCTGAACTCTGGGCTCCTTTAGCCTTTCGGCCGGAGACCGCAAGATGTTCGCTGTATCTGAATAGGGGGACGAGGCGGTGGACGCCTGTCTGAATATGAGGACGACGACGCTGATGAGTCGGTCCGAATATGAGGACGACAGCGCTGACGAACCGGTCCGAATATGGGGACGATGGCGCTGGTGAGCCGGTCCGAATATGGGGACGAGGCGATGATAAGCCGTGCGTCGTATGAAGGCGACGGTCACCATCCAGGAAGGGAATGGCGAGCCTGGTCGCTAGATAAGGACTTCGGCGCTGGGGCCGGTCTAAATGTGAGGACGAGGCTATGATGAGCCGTGCGTCATATAGGGGCGACGGTCGCCGTCCGGGAAGGGATGGCGAGCCCAATCGCTATAACAAGACTTCGGCGCTGGGAGCCGGTCTTGAGATAAATAATCACGTCGCGGGCGAGGGGCTGATCGCGATGTGCAGATGACAATGATGAGGAGCCAGTCCGAAATATGATGACGAGGCGATGATGGAGCCGATCGTCATATAGAGGCGATAGTCACCATCCAGGAGGGGATGGCGAGCCTGATCGCTAGCCCAACACACTCGGTGCTGATGAAGCCGGTGTTGGGATAGGGTGTGACGTCGTGGCCGAGGGGCCGATCGTGATGCGAGGTCGTCAGCACTATGAGGCTGATCCAAAAGTCCAAGCAGCGGTCGCCATCCGATGAAGGAATGACTGAGACCGGTCTTGGGGTAAATAATTACGTCGAGGCCGAGGGGGTCGATCGTGATATGAGGACGACGACGATGAGGAGTCGGTCCAAATAATGATGACGAGGCGATGGTGAAGCCGATCGTCATATAAAGGCGATGGTCACCATCCCGGAAGGGATGGCGAGCCCGATCGCTAGCTCAAGACTCGCGGCGCTGAGGAAGCCGGTCTTGAGATAGATAATCACGTCGAGGCCGAGGGGCCGGTCGTGATATGAGGACGACGACGATGAGGAGTCGGTCCAAACAATGATGACGAGGCGATGGTGAAGCCGATCGTCATATATAGGCGATGGTCACCATCCAGGAAGGGATGGTGAGCCCGATCGCTAGCTCAAGACTCGCGGCGCTGAGGAAGCCGGTCTTGAGATAGATAATCCCGTCGAGGCCGAGGGGCCGGTCGTGATATGAGGACGACGACGGTGAGGAGTCGGTCCAAATAATGATGACGAGGCGATGGTGAAGCCGATCGTCATACAGAGGCGATGGTCACAATCCGGGAAGGGATGGCGAGCCCGATTGCTGGCTCAAGACTCGCGGCGCTGAGGAAGCCGGTCTTGAGATAGATAATCACGCCGAGGCCGAGGGGGTCGGTCGTGATGCGCGGGCGGCGATGCTGAGAAGCCGATCCGACAATATGATGACGTGGCAGGGCGTTGGCGCCGGACTGAACCTGTAGGACGGTGGAGCTGGTCCGAAGATGAGGGACGGCGCTGGGCACTCATCTGAGATGAGGGACGACGCTGGGCGCTCGTCTAAGAATGAAGGACGGCGCTGGGCGCTCGTCTGAAAATGAGGGACGGCGCTGGGCGCTCGTCTACAAATGGAGGACGGCGTTGGGCGCTCGTCTAAGATGATGGACGGTGCGGGGCGCTCGTCTAAGATGATGGACGGCGCTGGGCGCTCGTCTGAGATGATGGACGGTGCTGGGCGCTCGTCTGAAATGATGGACGGTGCTGGGCGCTCGTTTGAAATGAGGGACGGCGCTGGGCGCTCGTCTACAAATGGAGGACGGCGCTGGGCGCTCGTCTAAGATGATGGACGGCACTGGGCGCTCGTCTAAGATGATGGACGGCGCTGGGCGCTCGTCTGAGATGATGGACGGCGCTGGGCGCTCGTCTGAAATGATGGACGGCGTTGGGCGCTCGTCTGAAATGAGGGACGGCGCTGGGCGCTCGTCTAATAATGAAGGACGGCGCAGGGCGCTCGTCTAAGATGAGGGACGGTGCTGGGCGCTCGTCTGAAAATGAGGGACGGCGCTGGGCGCTCGTCTAACAAATGAGGGACGGCGCTGTGCGCTCGTCTAAGATGATGGACGGCGCTGGGCGCTCGTCTGAGATGATGGACGGCGCTGGGCGCTCGTCTCAGAATGAAGGACGGCGTTGGGCGCTCGTCTAAGATGAGGGACGGCGCTGGGCGCTCGTCTAAGATGAGGGACGGCGCTGGGCGCTCGTCTAAGATGAGGGACGGCGCTGGGCGCTCGTCTAAAAAATGAGGGACGGCGTTGGGCGCTCGTCTAAAAAATGAGGGACGGCGTTGGGCGCTCGTCTAAGATGAGGGACGGCGCTGGGCGCTCGTCTGAAAATGAAGGACGGCGCTGGGCGCTCGTCTGACATGAGGGACGGCGCTGGGCGCTCGTCTAAGATGAGGGACGGCGTTGGGCGCTCGTCTAAAAAATGAGTGACGACACTGGGCGCTCGTCTAAGAATGAAGGACGGCGCTGGGCGCTCGTCTAAGATAAAGGACGGCGCTGGGCGCTCGTCTAAGATGATGGACGGCGCTGGGCGCTCGTCTGAGATGATGGACGGCGCTGGGCGCTCGTCTAAAAAATGAGGGACGGCGCTGGGCGCTCGTCTAATCCGCATGTATGGTCTTGCTTCGTCCATAATGTGTAGTATTTGCCTGATATGTACTTAGTATTGTTGTGGGGATTTCATTTTTTGTTGCTCGAGGTCGGCGAGTGCGCGCGGTCCTCGGCTTCCCTCTTTTATTTTTTATTTTTCCTTTTTTTTTATTTCCGTTGTTGTTCCCTATTTCGGGGAGTATCCTTCTTTCAGGCTTCGGCCGAAGGGTGTGCTCGTCCTTCGGCCGGTTCGGACTTCGTTTATAACGTCCGTGATCTCAGGGGGGTCCCGTCGCCTATTTATGACGCGGGCTAGACTTTTGGTTGGTTTCCAACGGCTGCCGTTGCCCAACCCTGAGTGGGGGGATTCTGCCACCTCGGCCATGATTTCAGGTCTGTCGTCCTGCGATCTGGCGTGTGGACGACGCGGTGAACTTCCCATTTCAAGACGCGGGCCGTTTGCGGGCCCATCGTCCTGGGGACATCGTCGGCCATACCTGAGCGTTTCACTCTAGGCTTACGGGGCCAGGACGATGTGCTCTCTCAGCTAGGCCTGAGCCCTTTGCTGATACAAAATACAATGGAGTATGCCTGAGCCTTTCGCTCGAAGGCTGCTGATATGACACGTGGTATCTTCTATTTACATTTCCAAAAAATAAGCGGAATACAATAGGCGCGTTGTTCATGGCAACGGCTTTTGGGCGACGCGATTAGCGTCTCGGAGAACGAGGTGTACCGTTTACCGCTCTCGGGCATAATGCCATGTGCGGCCGGTAGCGGCTCTCATTTTTAGATGTCCGAGTCACCAAACAAAGGTGGCTAGGGTAGGTCGAGGGACCCAAATATAATTAAAATCATCATATAAAGATGTTCGGTAGGCTAGAGCTCGGGTCCACCACTTTGGGGATTTTTGACCCGGTTTAATGTCGGTGATAAAAATAATAACGCTAATAATAATGCACATTAGCGACCTCGAGAAATTTTAATCCCTCATAATGGTCTTCACCACCTCGGGGGTTTTTAACCCGCCATAATGGTGGTGGAAATAATATAATTAATAATAGTAATAATTATACTACTATCACTTAATAAATATTTTAAGTGTATAAATAGGAGTATTGGGCACTTAGCTCTTATTTGGGCCGTTTGTTGGATGTGTTGTTGAATTGAGGCCCATTTTCACTGGTCGGTATCAAATTTGGGCTGAAGTAGTCGTGGCCCACATTTCTTGACTTCATCTAGGTCTGGCTTCTTGCTTGACAGAAATCAACGCACTAAGCTGTCCCCTTCATTCGTACCAAGTCGTGGGGCCCTGCGGTCTGGGGCGGAGGGTCGTTGGTGCGCTCAGGGGGCCTCAAACCGGAAGAAGATAGCTGCGACTTCAGGCGGCGTTCAGCCGGTAGATCCCCAGGAGGAGGCAGACGGCGCTGTGGCGGAGATGACAAAACTCAGACTCGGCCATCATCTTCTGGAGCTTTGAGGTGGCCATTAATGGTGGACCTCCGAGTTCGAACAGATCAAGACGAGGAGCCGGCGACCGGAGCTGAGCGAGCGGCGCTGCCATGGGGGCGGCGGAACTCATGCTTGGAGTCGCAGAACTCGTGCTTGGACTCATTGACATGGCCGAGGTGGCAGAGCAAAAAGCGTCTGGGAGTGCCTCGCTAGAGCTCCGGTGGCACCGGTGAAGCTTCCCTAGACCCGCCTTCGACAGATACACCCGTGACCTAGGTTCCGACGTTTCGAGCAGCGACGGAGGTCAGTGCAGTGGTGGAACAGACCTGGAAATGGTTGGTGAGCTTCAGCAGTCGTCAATCTTCAGCAGCCGACTTCTGTATCAAAAACCCCAGATGCAAATTTCCAGATTTTTTTCTTTGCTATTCTTGACATTTTCAGATCTGTTTTTGACTGTTTTTGGTATTTTGGACGAAATTTTTGGTTTTTTTGGGAGGATTTCTCACTTGATTATGCTCAAACTCTCAATGAAAGCACCATTGATGGATTATAGGTATCCAAGTATATTAAAATGGAGAGATTGAGCTAGATAATTGGAGGAAGAAGATGAATGAATAGTGAATTGTGAATGAGTAATTATGTTCCAGGGTTACAAATGGCTCCAAGAGGAGTATAAATAGGGAAATAATGGGCCAAGCCGCTAATATGGGCCCGGTAGCCCAACTACATAAAAGACTAATCTAGTACATAGTTACATACAAATGACACATAAGCAGTACAATAATACAAATGATATCCGTAAGATGTGTGTGGGCCGCTGTCCGGGCCCAATAGTCGTGAGACCCGGGGGTCCGAGTCTATATACTCTATCATTATCTTTCCAAAGATCACATGATTTTATAGTAGAAAATAAGACATAAAAGATTTGGGCGACGTGGTCACCATGTTCGAATTGATATGCAAATCAATAATCCGGATCCGCGGAATCCTTTGTTGATTGTGTGAATATATTGAAAAGACGTCGTTGATGTAGTTTGTCCGTACAGAGCCACCATGTAGGAATAACGCTCAGAGACGTCATGCATATGTTATTTGGATAAGCTTCTACTACTATATCCAGGGTCACCGTGGACATTTCTTTATATAAGCTCGTCATGGCATCCAAGGCTATAGTGCACTCTGGTCTTTTACTTGCGTCCATGGTTGCTGCGGACATGCTTCTTGGATACGATTACCATGACATCCACGGTTACTGCGTACCCCTCGGGCTTCTACTAACTTGTATCCACAGTCGCCATGTATAGTCTTTTATCTTCTAACCCGCTCATGGTCACCACGTACGAGCTCTTCTTGTACC